CCCCCCAACCAAAAAAAACAAAAAAAAACAACCAAAAAACCCCCACAAAACCCACTTTGGGAGTATTTACCATGAAGGCAACACTTATATGCTTCACTCCAAGGTATGACAGAAGGTCACTATGCCACTACTATGCCACAGTATGCCACTAAAGAAACAATGCTAGCAACAACAGCAAAACAAAACAAAATCATAGTTTTTCTGACCTTTGTGACTTGAGTATATGTGTCTGTGTTTCTTTTTTTCCTCACGAGAGTCTTTGTCTTGGTAGCTGATCTTCTTTGCCTGAGTACCTCATAATCAGCAGATCTCTTACTTCTTTTCCCACATGTTATTTCAACATTATCAATTTCACAAGTTACATTATAATTTCCGCACAGACCTTGAAGAACTGTTGAATCATTAATAATTGAGATAAAGTTCTCCTTGATTTGTGTGTTGTTCGGAGAGCAAGAGTTTGAGTAGTAATATATGTCAGACATTAGCTTTGTGTTATTCGCAGGACGTCCACCTAAGAGAAAAAAAAGAGGGGAAAAAAGAGGAAAAAAGAAATCACGATTCTTAGATTATAGAAGTAAAAACCTTTGAAATACATTGCGAAAGACGTTTGGTGGAAGACATTCAACAGAAAACAAAAAGCTGAAATACTTAAGACATAGGTAAAGACAAGATAGACTTTGGTGAACAAATATTTTTTAGACTGTGTTGAAGATAAACACTTAGTATGATAAAAGAAAAGAGAGGAAAGGAAAAGGAAAGAGGGTTAATCTAGATTGGGCACATGAGAGAATGCACTGCAGCATAACAGATGCAGAGAACCTTCAACGGTTTGAGTTGATTAGAAATACACCAACAAAATGTGAGCCATCGAAGTGAAACCAACATTTTACAATTGCTGGCCATAGGGCAATTTAAAATAAAGTTCATATTTTTCAGCTCAACACCTTTTATGTCCGTTTAAAAACACATTCCAGTGTGTCTAAAACAGCACCTGGACATGGATGGCTGATGCCTCTATAAATAAATCATTGATGGTCAGGTCATTCCAGTGTGGATTTTACTCTTAAAAAGTTGATCAAAGGAACAAAAAAAGGAACTTTGTAGTTTCCAAGGACAATCAAGCTTTGGAAGTCACCAAACTTTGGTGGCCATTTTCTTGCTATGTTTACCTCTGACACCAGCCACCCCCTCTTCAATCACAAAAATATATATCGACTTCTACTCAAGATTGGTGGGTATATTTTCATATAAAGTAAGACAAATTAACAAGCTATAAGATGATACCAAGAACTCCATATGCCAAAAAAATGACAAGCACCTGATTCCACCACCTTGCAACACAAATGGTGTTTCAATAAAATAAATATTCAGTACTTGGAAAAAGCAGGATGAAAGACAGCAGAGACAACAGAAAGAAAACAAGTAGCCTATATACATTAAACAAATTCTATCCTCCAAGCACCCACAACTGAAGAAACTCAGAAAGTTACATAAAAATGGGAAGACATGAAAACACAAAATACATACGTTGACAAACTTCTGTCTTGATCACTCTTGGATTCCATTCTCCATCTTTATTGTCACAGACAAAGTATCCTTGATCCTGCCCCGCCACAACTGGGTATGCATAGCCTTTCCGACACTGTAAGGTGCATACCTGCCTGTCAACTATAACGTCACAAGATACCGAACCATATGTAGGAGTTTGTATGGCCGCACACTCTTTCTCTGAAAAGAAACAAAAGTAGAAGTTTGAGTTAAAGAAGTATTGAGGAGCAATTTACTCTAAAAGTAGACCTATATCTAATCTTGTATCTGTTAGAAACTGAGTGGGAACAAAATTTACTATTACACAATTGATAACACCTAAAAGAACCAAGCCAAAATATTTTTCAACGAAAATGTATTATAAAATAGGGAAACATATTCCAAAGTCTGGTGAAATTTCATTTATACAACTTTACTGAGGGGTGAGTTATTCATTAGAGTAATTATAGGCTACATATCTCATATGGTATTAGTTTTTGTCGAGATAACAAGAAATAACAACTGATAACAACGGATAACAACAAATAACTTCTGTCAACAAATAACAAATGATAACAACAAAATAACAACAAATATCAACACAAACGTCTTAATTTAGTTGCATTTACTTGGTAGTCTTACATCAGTATTTATCTTTGCCGAGATAGCAACAAATACAACAGATAACAACAAATAACAACTAATGATAACAACAAATAACATCTGGTAAAAACTGATAACAACAAATAACAACTGGTAACAACAACAACAACAAAAAATATCAACACCAATGACCTATTTTTTTTTCTTCTGATAAATTGTTACTTTCGATTTTACTTTCGATTTGAACGTAAACAAAAAAAGGGACGCAACTCCCCGGTCATCACTAAAGAATAGTAGTCTACTTCCAGTAGATGCTTGGAGTAGTGCACGGTAGGGGCCTGGTTGACCACATCATGAATAAATTGATTTTTGAGGCTAGAATCACAGTATTTTTGTGTTATCAGTTGTTATTTGTTGTTATCTCGCCAAAGATAAACACCTTATCTCATAAAATCAGAAAGCGGGAGGCAGTTCCAGTCCTGGGGAACTGAAATGCCTTCAATACACATAAGCCTACAGGATTTAGGGGGGGTTTCCTTCCTAATTTGAGAAGATAATGCACCTAATTCTATGTTAAGAATGAAAAAAAAAACTGACCCAAGTTTTAAGCTTCAATGGACCAAGTACTGATGTATTAGAGGAAATACAGTTCCTGTAATAACAAAAGTACTGGTATGCCAAAAAAACAGTAAGCAAATAAAATTTCAAAAACGAGAGTAATGAGTTTCATCTGAAATTATCCTTCAAGAGACTCAATGTCACTACTCACCTTTACAAAACGGTTTCACATTTCCATAAAACCAATAGCCCGTATTATTTGCGCGGCGCTGACAAGTAATGTCGAAGCCTCCTTGTATAGGGTTTCCGTCAGAACAGCTGAGGTCACAAGAGGCCCCATACACATGACCATTGGGGCAGGAAAACTCCATAAGGCCAGCTTGGCTGTCATCAATGTCTTCATTTAAAGGATCTGGGCAGAGGATTTCTAGAAAGAGATACAGAGAGAAACCAGCATCATTTTGAGGGCACAGGATTTCTAGAAAGAGATACAGAGAGAAACCAGCATCATTTTGAGGGTTCAAAATCATGTGTCTGGCTTTGTTGTGCGCCTACATATAAACTTATTTATGCTTCTGGGATGCTGAGGAAGAGAAGCCTATGACTGATTCTCTCCAATGTTTCAAATATATAACTTCAAAATGACTACTACTGTTCGGCAACATTGATAGTTTTCAACTTCCCAACCCGTACCAAATACCAGACTTAAGTTTTCCTCCTCCCCCCCCCTCCCCCCACCCCCAATTTTTTTTAAAAATTGCATTATGTAACACCATTTTTTTTTTAAACTGTCAACCCTGAAATTAAATTTGTCCATGCTATGACTGCTGCCCTGTGGGACTGCCACACATCAAGTATGATGTGTACACTGGACATATGCTCTATCGAGAAAGGTCCTATAATTCCAAAAACTCATGAAACTTGTCAAACAAAAACAAGTCGTTCCCTTACAGTTAACCTAGGAAATGCTGCTCCAATTAAATATTTTATCAAAATTTATGACTATTCTCTCACTGGCTACCCAATCACTCATCCCAGTCAATGGCCATGCACTTTCTGTTGCCATTCCCCCAGCTATAAGATTTTACTTTTTGAACCGCAAGGGGCAAAATATGTAAGTTATCCAAGTTGTCTTTATTTAATTCGTTTATGCAACAGACAATGGAATTAAATGTTACATTATATCATAACTGTTCCACTCCCTCTAAGAAACAATTAAAGGGCTTAATTAAGCAGTAAGTAGAGAGGAGTCCAGTCATAGAAGATGACTTAATTACTGGAATAACAATAGCAACATTTATCAAGAGTGTCTGTAGATGAAAAGTAAATTTCTGACACACCCATCAACATAAAAAAGTTTTAGAGGAAGTAGGTAGTTTCAACTTTGCTTATCAGGGATCATGAAAATAATTATTTACTTTATGACCTGGAAGGCAAACAAAAAAGTTAAATTGGCTGACAACTGTGTAGGTACTGAGCTTGGAATTTATTAGCTTAAACTATAGGTAAGGGTAACTTTTTATAAGAAAAAAGCCTGAAAAAAACATTCTTTATGGAGCACTTTCGGTTTTGGGGCGATTTCAGGTGCTTTATTTGTTCATTTTTTGTGTATTTTTCCCTTAAAAGACCTTTGAGGGCAAGGACCTCCTTTGCGATACTAATCCCAGGAGAAAAAATTGAACTCGAAAAGATATTTTCCGTACATGGGAATCAAAATCATATAATATAGATTGTAAAGAACATAGAGCTTACTGCTGAGAGGGAATTGTGCTAAACAAATGTGACCCTCGCAGTCAAAATCAGTCATATGAAGGAAATTTCAAAATATAGTTAACACAATTTCCAAAAACTATCACCATTTCATTACAATTTGGTAAAAAATGAAGCAAATAAGACAATATTTGACAAAAATATAGAACTTTTAAGTATGCAATGAGCGGAAACACGAAAAGGAGAAAACGGGCTCCGAAGTTGAGCAACATGTTTCCATAGCAACGGGGGTCTTAGAATTGAGATAGAGACTTGAAATACGGCAGTTATCTTGGCTATGCCACTACAAGGTAACACACAGAAGTAGAAAACTATTCGTTTACAGAAAAAATAAGCTTATGGACAAACCAACATTTTAACGAGAATGGTCTTCACGTCAAATGCAACAACAGGTTAGCATTGTAGGCCCTACTAGGTACCAGAAACTAAATTTTTAATAGCTGTATGTCAAATTTATCTGTTCCATATGAAAGGCATGTGTCTCCTGTGAATTTTGGAACCATACGTTAACCTCTCAGTCAAATTTTAAGAAAATGGCAGCTGTTTTAATTTAATATCGAATATTGCTAAAATCACTAACTGGCGGCAACCCCATGTTTGACAGATAATAAAAGAGTACCAAGTGCACCAAACATCTCTACATTAACAGAGTACAATCACTACAACATAAAAAAGGAGCCAAATTTTTTTCATGACTGTGAGATCATAACATTTCAGTATTTTATTGCCTCAAACACCATGATCTGTCGTTATTTCAATAAAAGAGAGTTGTCTCGGCCGGTGTCGCACCAGCCCTCGCGGCGAGCGAGTCGGCTCAATACTGTAGTGTACTGAGTTTTCCCGGTAGTTTCGCCAGAGAGTAAGAGTCTCTGGTTTCGCAGAAGGATTCATGTCAAAATATAATTCGAAGCCGATCACTTTATTTTAATAGAAAAAAAAATTATTTCTATTGATTCCTTTTTTAGCCGGTATTTTACACATTTCGTGTTTAAAATGATCTTTGAAAACTTAAACACTTTTTTTTCAAGGTTTTCTATCCAAACGCCAAAGACCAAAAACAATTACCACGGGAAACCAGGATCAAAGCTGTATATAGTTCTCCGCCAATGAAAAGACGGTATTTAATCATCAATCTTTCTGCAAAGCATTCGAATGCATGGGTGTAAATTTTGAACCGGCTGACCTCGCATTCCGACCGCGAGGGGCTTCCCTTTCTATGGCGATTCTCCAGCTCCAAATACTCGGATATACAAACAACTTACACTATTGTAATGAAGAATATCTGAACTTTTTCAAAGTGTTCAGCATTTTGTGTTTTATAATAAAAGAGCAAAGAAACAGAGATCTGAATTACCCCCATTTTACCAAAAGTATGCGCTCGGAAGGCAGTGAGACGGCTTACGTGCCGTGCTTATGCTACCTAATTATACGTTTGCATGAACACACAAGAGCACACACACATACACAAACACACACAAACACACAAACCCACACACACATACACACACACACACACACGCACACACACACACATACATACACACGCATACAAACACACCAACACACATACACACTCACACATGCACATAGAACGCCTCGTTGTCTTCTTGGTAAGAAGTCCGCTTTGAGAGATCTAGAGGAAGGTTAATCAATCTTTTAAAAGCACTAAAACACAATAAAAACGAATTTTTTAAGTCAATCCAAATGTAAAACTGAAAGATCAGCAGACGATAACAGCTAGTAGGGCACGCCCACAAAGTCAGCTGTTTACGTAAACCAGCTTGGAGTGAGCTAGAAGTTAACGCTTTTACTCCGTTTTACCAATCAGTTGCCTACATTTCAGACTATTCATGTTCGAAAAGGGCTCAAAATCTAAAAATAGTTGCGAACGAAGAACGTTGATGCAAAGGTGGTCATGAGGTAATGGTGGTCATGAATTAATGGTTCTCACAGCTACACACTAGCAAATGTCCAAATTCCTTTATCTCTTCACCCAAGCTCACAACAAACCACACACACCTCCAAAATAAATCATAATAAAATATTTATAGTCGATTATAGTTGTTTATTTTTTTATCTTAAATGAAGCAGAAGACATCAAACTTTCAATATATAAAAAAAAAAAATTTTTTTTATGGAAAGTCATTTTTTTGCCTTTCGAGCCTCGTTGCTGATAACGGCACACTGCGTCTTACGACTGATATAAGATACTAATGTTTTTTACTGTTTGTGAAAGCATCTTGTCCTTTTTTCAAGATTATAAAAAAAAGTTGGGTTTTTTTTAAATATCGGATGCTATGATCCAAATGCACAAACTTTGTGGAATGTATGTAAATAACTGTTAATTTTTCAATATTTTTCAGTTCTTTATTCATTTATGGTTATTTTGATGTATCATTTTGACTAGGACCAAACATAGTTTTTCAGTTTAACCAAAGATGACTAATTTTTTTTTCAAATGTTATCCTCATCCAAACAAAACTGTGTTGCATAATCGCCTGTTACAGGAACCAAAGTTGAAAAATACACAAATAAACATTACAGGTGTATTCTATAAATAATAATGAAAATTTCGGTGTATAATAGGTTGATATTTATTTGAATTTGTGGCCCCAAAGACCTTTGAACTGCGCACTCATCATCGTCTAATTTCGCCGTCCCGAGAAAAATGTATCCAAAAGCCCAATATAATAAGTAGCGAATGAGTTAATGAATAGTGCAAAAGCTACTCACGATTAACAGTAACAGCAAATGTGCATGTTCCAACGTTTCCTGAGGTGTCTTTTGTTGTGACAGAGACATTTGTGAGTCCGATATCAAAGCGAGAGCCTGGGGCAGGATCTCCTACAACTACCACTGCTTCATTTGAGTTGTCTGCAGCTTGTGGCAAAGTATAGTGCACGTAGGTGTCTGTGTTCAGAGCTTCAGCATATCTCATTATTCCTGGGCAACCACTGGTAAAAGAGGGTGGCTCAACATCTGCCATTGGAGATGACACAACATTGAAAAAATTTTTTAAACTGGTTTGGAGCAGCAGGGTCTCTTTAGGCACACTGAGAGTGGATAGAGAAGCTTATTAGTGTCCTCCATGTCAGATAGAAAATATGATATTAGATAAAACAAGATAAGATTTAATAAACTTATTAATCATCTTTGGAAAGAAATCGACATTGGTAGATACAATATTATTCATTCTTTTTCGACACACATCGAAGTCATCTGCACTACAAAGAATGGTCCAAACAAAGATGATATTTACTGACAGTTTTAAGGTCAATGGAACTATTACCCCTAGTGGATGTTCATTGAAACTCCAATATCCCATTTCAAAAGAAAGCCTACAGAGCCCAAGCATATCTTTTTCAGGAAATCAACCCGGAAAAGAAAAGGCATACAAATACAAGTTCACTAGAAAGTAAACTGTGTTTTATGTAACTATTCTCTACTTCTCTCAACAATTTTATCAAGTGTTTAGACATGAGAACTTCCCATCAATGCTCCTACCTGTGCAGTTCCCAGGCTGTGTCCACTGTAAAGTGACTTGGCAAGAGACGGACACCGGTTTATTGGCCTGATATCCAGAGTCACACCTAAGGGTGCATATGTCCTCGTATTCATCTCCATTCGGGCAATCGAAATTACCTCTGTCAACACTTGGAGTTTGACCACAACGGCCTCCTTTGAAAAACAATAAGGTGGACTTGTAAGTGGAAGCCTGTTTGTTTGAGAATGACAGAACAGATTCCTGTTTCCAAAAGAATGAAGAAGTCTTGGTTTCTGTTGTATTTTACAAAAGATTACCCTTTTGTTTCCTTTTAATCCAGTTTAAACATATGAAAAACACTTGCTATACAGATTTCAAAAATACCAAAATACCATTTCTGGACTTACAAGCCCACTGTATATCTAAATTGCTCGCAATTTGCATGATCTCTACTAAAGGTTCTTGAGACACTTAATGTCCATTATCCATACTTCTTACAAATTGTGAACTGACAGTTATCAAACTGTAACCGACATTCAAATAAATTCTAAATACGGCCATGAAAGACCTTCCTGTAGCTTTCAAACAAATATTAGCGTTTAGCCTGGCCATCTTTGGACTAAAAGCTGAAGTATTTAGTCTTAAGTTATAAATGTAGGAAGGAAGACCTACAGTTTTGTAGTCCTATGGCCCAGAGTGCATGCCTGGTAGTGCAGTAACTTTACCCTACAGTGAATCAAACGTATGCCTGGGCATCAAGTAGGGACAGGTAGATCTAGCAATTGGCAAAAAGAAACTCAAGAGCACAGAAGGCACAGCAGGGGACCAGGGCCCAAAGGGTGAAAGTGGAACCTGCAAAAACTTCTGGAGTACCAAAGTAGAACATCAACACAAACTAAGAGCAAATTTTACCTTGGGGCAGGTCCAAACGAAAACCAAAACCCGCTCCTAATCAAAAGGAAAATCCATATCTTGAGAAAGCAATAACAATAAGACTTCCACCTGGGGCTCACTTTTGCAAAATGGTTGAGCATCACTCCATGTCCTGGAGTCCAGACAGGTGCGCTGTGCCACCCCTGACAACTGGAACCCCTGAGAGCAGGAAATGGAGCAGTCGGAACCTACGGCCGAACCGTGGGAGCAGCTCACACTGCCAAAGTCAGGTGCCGGTAGGACATCACAGTACTTCACTGGGGAGGGGATGAGAACCAGTTCAAACGTTATTTTAGTTTGTTTCATTAAGAGGAAGCTGAGGCGCTAATTTAATGGGGAAGGCCTCTATGAACCTTTTAAGGGATTAACATCATAAACTGTCATTTTTCATATAAATGTAGGCCTATACATGATAAGGTAAGACTTCTATGTTTGGGGTTTTCAACAGTATTACACCTAGGTCAAGACAAAAGTATACAAGTATCAAATAAGATGAGTAGCAGTGGAATTTTTTGTAAAAAGGTGGTTAAACAGAAATATGCTTCAGCAACTCCTGTTCAATTGTTGACTACCGTCATCATGAGCGACAACGCAAAAAGAGTTAGGCATTCTACTTTAGAACAACACAGTTTCAGGAAAGTGCTGATAGGTTCCACAGAAGCATGACTGTATCATCTTTTAACATACATTTTTAAAAAAGTGGTTTTAGTGATGTTTTGGCATGGTAGAATTTCACATGAAATATATTATGATAAGCGTTTACATTCAAAATTGTATTTTGCTTCTTGAAAAACACAGAAAGGATAAAAAAAAGTATCATTGCTAACAGCAGAAAAAAGCAAAGGAACCATTATTACTGTCACTTTAAAAAAAACAGATTATTAAATGGGCATTTTTTTGTATGGTACAAGTGACTTCATTCTCCCTTCAACCATTTAAAATTTTGATTTCGAACCATCCCGCAAAAGCAGAGCGTATACAAACGAGTCATCCTCCAGCGGCTGATTGGCTTGCCAGTTCAGGTTTCAAATTTTTTTTTTTAATGACAGTGAAATGATAACCCAAGTTCAAAAACCGGGTGTCACTCAAGGACAACAGCATGTTTGTAAAGTTGTCCAAATTGGTATATAATATGGTGAATAAAACGATGTAGAAGCAACCTCTGAATTATTGTATCTTATGTAAACCTGACACTACCATTGTAACCTAAATTTTAATTATGTCTGTAAAAATAGTATTTTCCTTCTTTTTTTCTTCTATTTCTGCCAATTTTATACTGCAATGTTTGTAACTGTCACCATGTGTTTTGTCACCAAGTTATTATGTACCCGCTGAAATTGTTAAGAATACGTTTCTCTGATAAACATAATTATAAACATTTATAGTAGCCCATGTGGTGAATGGTAGATCCACTGATTCACAGTGGCTCACAATACAAAACACAGGTTGGTAGTCCTTCGTAGCCGAAGATGACGATGAATTCTGCAGCTCATCTGTGGACGTGCATGTGGCTGTGCAATCCGATCCTGAATGAACAATGTCTGTTGCAGTGGGGACACTGGAATGTCGTGGTTGTGGTGGTTGGCTTATGTCTCTTCTCTCTTCTGATAGTCAGCTTCTCCCTGTAGTTTGTATCGCTGTTTCTGCTGGCAATACGGACAGCCCTGTGCCAAAACACATACTACAAACACAAAATAGGTGCTGAGCTTTAAGACTTGGTCTTCTTGCGTCAACCTACCCTTAACAGTTACAGGTGTGGTGCAAGTATACACGTTGCCAGAGGAATCAGTGGAGGAAAATGTCACGATAGTGTCGCCCACGGGAAACTCATCCCCCGACTGATGATCACTGCTGACCACGACAGTCTCCCTAGAGTTGTCAGAGGCCACAGGTACTGTCCAGGTGACCTGCTTTGGCTGTTTCTTTGGCTCAGAGTACAAAGAGATGACAGCCGGGCAAGTAAAATCTGGAGGGTCAACATCTGAAAGAAAACGGATTTATCACAATTAATGCCAGCTGGCCATAATATATATATAATTACATCGGAATAGGATTGCACCCACCCCCCCCCCCCCCCATGCAACCAACCTTTACATATGGCCTTTTCCAACACAGAGTGGGGGGGCTCTCGTGGCCTAGAGGTTAAGGTGTTGGCCTCTCATTCAAAGGTCCCGGGTTCGAATCCGGGTAGTGACCGAAAAATTTTCTTCTCTAAAATTGTCTCCTTTCACCTCCTTTCTTGCTCTCTAGCAATGTTCTGTTGTCTGCTTTCATTTCCACTTTCTGCCCCCACCCCCTCACCTCCTTTGCCCCCTCCTCTGGGCTCCTTACTCTTTCTGCAGCCTTTCTACTGTTACTCCTTGGCTCCTCCTTACTGCTGTCTTTCTGCCACACCCCTGATCTTCTGGTAGGAAAGATCTACACCTAGCCTTCTCGGACAAGGGCGTAATATCTCGGAGGGCCCTTGTGCAAGTTGCGCACGTTAAAGATCCCTTGGTGGTCTAAAATCGATAAGAGTAGGCTTCGGCCGCCACCCGGGCAAAATTCAAAATTTCCTACCAACTGAAAATATTAGGTGTGTCCCGTGCGCTCATATGACCTATGCAGTTGCGAGCGCCGTAAAACACTTTACAAAAACAAAAAACAACACAGAGTTAAGAACCACACACCTTTTTGGGGGAAGGGGAAGCAAAACCACAGGGATTGGGAAAAGTTTATGTGAGAAAGTTTTGCAATGTAAATCATAAACACTTTGCATACGTTATTGTCACAACTATTGACCCAGTCAAGTAATGACATTTTGAAAAAGTGCGTTTTTTACGAAAGTGAATAACCCTACTTTTATGGATAAACTCACTAGCTTAAATTAGGTTTTTTTAAACCTTTTTTCAAACAAATACCATTACAAAGTTGGAGTTGCACAAATTGCACACAATGTAGATCTAAAGCTTTTTTAGTAGACACATTTTTTAGAACAATTTAAAGAATATATGACAAAGCTTTTTAAGACATACACTAAAGAACTGAGAAAAGGGCTTTTCAAAAGCTTAAGATATATTGAGTAACTTTTGATTTTAAAATATTGAATTGTTTGAGTCATTTTTAGTGACTAGATTATTTCTGATGTTAGCATTTCTGATCATGGTCAAATTTTGAGCATTCTTTCCTAATCAGTCTCAGAACATATTTACAGAAAGAGCAAAATCCATCCAAATATAAAATAATAGCTTTCAGGTGATTAAAAAACCCTCGCTCCTATTTTTCACTTTTACTATTTTAAGCCAAATTACCCAAACAACTGGGAGACATTGAAGAGGAATAGAGCCACTTCAAAGTATGTGTGGAGAAAGCATTTAAAGAAGAGTGCGGCACCAGGAAAACAGGAGGGCAGAAAAGGAAAATAACTATATGGAGGAACGACCAAGTAAAGGAAGTCATCCAACTGAAGAAAAAGGCATTCAAAATGTGGCAGAAATCAAAGACAGAGGAAGATTACATCCTATATGGAAATGAAAGCCGCCAAACAACAAAGATAGTAAAAGAAGCTAAGAATAGATCCTGGACAATATATATGGAAAACAGCTGGCAACAAAATGTAAGGAAGACACTCCAGAGAGTTTTACAAGAGCATTAAAAGCATGAGGATGCAAGAAGAACCATTCAACTCCACTGAAATAATCAACGATGAGAACAGAAATCCTATTTTTAGGAAGCCAAAGATTAAAGAAAGATGAAAACGCTATTTCCAGGAGCTGCTGAATCCTACAGGAGAAACAACACCAAAAGAAACTACTCCAGAACCATCACTACTGTTCAGTGAAACCCAACATGTTATAAAGAAAAGCCAAACAAAAAAAGCGCCAGGCATCGATAACATCAAAGCAGAAAAGATCAAGCTATGCGGCCATATCGGTGAACTCTTGCCATGGTGAATATTCAACCTGGCCTGGGCGACAAAAACAACACCCGATGACGGGCAACGAGCTGTCATTGTACCCATTTGGAAAAGGAACCCACAGAGGAATATCCATTCTCGGCCATGTGGGGAAAATGTTTTCCAAGATACCGGAAATGAGAATGAGACCATTTGTAGAGACTCAACTCAATGAATCACAGTTTGGCTTCAGAAAAAGCAGGGGCTGTACTGATGCTATTTTCGCATTCAGACAGTTGTGTGAGACTGCCACAGCACATGACAAAGACCTCAATATTGTCTTCATGGATCAGGAAAAGGCGTTCAAGCGGGTAGATAGATGTCAACTTTGGGAAGTCTTAGGGGAATATGGTGTAAGAGGACAATTGCTGGAGAATATCATGGCACTTAATAAAAACAGCCTGTGTGCTGTAAGATCAACAGAAGGACTATCGGAATGGTTCCCCATCAGGTCTGGGGTGAGACAAGGGTGTGTTCTCTCTCCGCTTCTCTTCATCCCTTACAGGGATAAGATCACGAAAGCAGCAAATGACAACATCACTGAACTGAACAAGCTTCATTTGCTGATGACCAGAGTATATTAAATACAGATGAAGAGAAATTACAAAAACACACCACAAAACTAAATGAGGAATGTACACACCTGAACATGAAAATCTCCATCTCAAAAACAGAAGTTATGAAGGTCAGCAGAAACCCAGGGAAACTCAATATTCTTATAGATGGAACACAACTCCAACAAATAGAGGATTTAAATATATAGGAAGCATCTTCACACAAGACGAGTGTATGGACACAGAAATAGAAACAAGAACTATGAAGGCAAATGCAGTGACCTACCAGCTAGATCTAGCACCCCTGCTCATTAACATACCAGTGCCAAACATGGTCTCTAAACAAGGCACAAGAAAGAAAAATCAATGCATGTGAAATGATGTGTCTCTGCAAAACCATCAATGCCACCAAAAGAGATTGCATAAGAAACGAAACCATACGTCAACAAACTGGAATATCACCAGTTATAAAATCTATACAGTGTCAAAGAGTCAAATGGTTTGGACATCTAATCAGAATGCCCTAGAAACAACTAGCAGCTAGAGCTTACAACACCCAAGAATCCGGCTTCAAATCAAGAGGAAGACCAAGAAAGACCTGGCTGGATGGGGTTAAACAAGTCCGGGAAAAGCATATATCTGTCACAGAGGCTACAAACCTAGCACAAGACCAAAACTTGCACCTCCCCTCAACATCCTAAGGATACCAGAGGAAGGAAAAAGTAAAAGTAAGTAAGTACTATTTTAAGAGTCTAGGATAGTGCTCATAAGCAAAAAAAACAACAACAACAACAACAAAATAGTGGGCATGGGCTTCATACCTTTACATCTGCCAGGAGAAGTCCACGTCTTGTCAGACTTACACTCCACATCTGCATTACCTTCTACAACATAGCCAGAGTCACAGCTCAAAGGGCATTTGGACCCTGTAGATGTTTTATCACAAGGCTCAAACTTTCCATGATCAACTGATGGCGGTGACGGACAGACAATTTCTGAAAAGAAAAACAAAGTAGCCTAAGTAATGAGTGAACGAGGCATACCCTCATAAAAACATGAAATTTACACAAAGCTCAGAAGAAAGGACATTCAAAAATTGAAGTGCTTTACATTAAAGTTGTAATAGGGCCTATAATTGTTTTGCTGATTGAAATTACATGGATGTGGCCAAATGCAAACTGCCATGGCATGCTGCATCTCTGCGACATCAATTTCAGAACTGGATCGGGACTGTTTAATGCTTGATTTTTAGATGCACAGATCGAGGCCCTGCATCAATCTCCCAACTCACTTTGTAAATTTTTACTTTCACTCCCGGACACACATGCACTGCTTCGGGGGTCAAACTGCAGTATTGTTAGCTGCAGATCACTCATAAAGCCACTAAAACTGGCGCAAATCAATTACTTTCAAGAAAATTTCAAACCAAACTGTAAAATATTAAAATACGGGTCAAAACAGGGGGGCAGGCCCTCCTGAAACCCCCGACTGGTCCAAAGGGCGCAAATTACTATGCACTTAGGCATGGTGTGACATAGCTCGATTAAGAACAATCAACCATTTCAAAAATTGTTGACTTGTGACGGAAATTATGTTGATATTCGTGTTCGGCGCATCAATATTTAGTAGAAAATGGACAACTGGTAGCTAAGTGTGAGATGGGAGGGGAAAGAAAAAGAATAATGAAGACTTAAACTCTTAAAATCCATAAGCCTATTACCTATAGGGTAAATTCAGTTTGAAAAAGGTAAATGACAGCATTTTTGGGATAAAAATATTGATTTTGAGCAAGAGCACGCATTACCCCCCCCCCCCCAACATATTCAGAAAAGAATCATTAAGAATGAAGACTTGATCTGTGAGGATACAGGTGAGCAGATGATTATAAATTAAATGAGGTTAAACCAGAAAAAAAAATTCAACATCTAGTCAAAAGGCAAGCCAAAGGGTTAATCAACTACCTTAATTCATACACCATAACTAAAATAATGAACCCACCTTTGCACTCAGGTCTAGTCTGGTCTGACCAGTGCTGATTGTCCTGACATTCAGAACTAGATGGTCCAGTAAGCTGATAACCAGAGTTACAAGAGTAGGTGCAGATACTCCCAAGGACATTATTGTTTGAGCAGGATACTTGTCCATTGGAGAGCCCATGGGTCATGTAAGTTGAGCACTTCTTTACTGGAGACAAAAAAACAAGGACACAATTTATATGCATAGACGTTTCGTCAGAACAAGCCTAACATGCCCTTTGTTTGTGAACAATTCATGCACGCATGAGTATAAAATATTAAGCAATGACAATGACATAATGATGAGCGATCAAAATAGCCTAATTAGAGAAAAACTGTTCAATACTTACATGATACCCCCCCCCTCCATAAACACACACACACACACACACACACACACACACACACACACACACACACACACACACACACACACACACACACAACACAGAAAGAGAGGGGGGAAGAAAGTAGAAAGAGAGACAGAGACAGATAGAGCGAGAGAGACAGACAGACAGAGAGACAGAGAGAGACAGACTGACAGACAGAGAGAGAGAGAGAGAGAGAGAGAGAGAGAGAGAGAGAGAGAGAGAGAGAGTAGATTCATAAACTAATCATTAGAAATTCAAATAGTGTTTAGTTAGAATGTGTATACAAATATTTTAAGACATTGCTGGTTGAAAAAGAAATTAGTTCAGGCAAAGATAGTACAAGACAAGATGGGCCACTCAGCCTAAAAAGTGTCCGCAGGAAGTATGCTCTTTGCTTCAGATGGCGCTGCAGTCTGTTTTGAAGCTCTCTTTCGTTTTTCCAGAAGAAGAATAGGAATAGCACCTCCTTGCGTGCGCAGATCGACTGCTGTTCATCAGCAGTTCGGGTACGTTCAGTGCGGAGTTTTAGGTTTTAAAAAATTTTAATGACCTCTCGCCCTTCATTCTAAAGTCAAATTAAAGGAAGAAAACCATCTCCTTTTCCTCCGGAAGAGGTTTTTTGTCAGCGTAACCATTTTTAAAAAGCGTTCTTCCGAAATTTATCCCAAAACTTGCTAGTTTCACTTTGATTTTTTAAAACTCAAGTAGGGTAACTCTGTTCGCAAAGAGTGCGCTTTTGTGAAGAGGGCGCCACCAAATTTTGAGGACACTTTTTTAATTGGCTCAAAGAGAGAAGTGGCCCATCTTGTCTTGTACTATCTTTGGTTCAGGTCAAAGGCATAAAATTGAAAAATTAAAAACAATTCCATTCCTACGAAAATATTTTACTGCAGTACAAGTAGGCTACTATGTAAACTTTCATTATAAATTATATATAGATTCTAGGCCCTATTGAATCTAGATCTAGATTATTCGTCTGAATAACTGTTAACTCCTTTTTCAAAGAGTGCCAACTTTGAACACAATTTGAAACCCGATTTCAATACAGTACAAGATAATTGCCATGGACTCTCCCAAACACCTTGGCCAAGTTGGAATCTCTGAACCTGCACAAGTGAGTAACATCAACGGCAGTCTTGCAAATCACAATGAATGTCCATAATAGATCTATGCGAGTACCGTTCCGCTGTTACCATCTAAAGTTTGTTTTTAAAATGTTGTCCGCTGCAGTAGTAATGTTGTGCTCACGAACTTGAACTTTAATTGGTGCATAAATAGCACACAAGGCATTACTGAGTGCAAGCCTCTATACGAAACTCACCAATGACTCGAAATACTTCGCTGCAGTGACTGGATGAACCTTTTCTGTCAGTGGCTTGGTATGTCACCGTGTGCGTGCCTTCTCCAACCCAAGAGTTTGGGTAAGGTCCACCAGTCTGGGATGTACTGTTGGAACATCAAACATAACACAGGTTTTTGACAAGAAAAAAACAGGCTTAGGCCTACTTTTCAGGCATAAAAATGGTACATATATACGTTTAACTCCCCTATCAACAATATTTAGTTACTAATTAATAGACGGGGCCTCCGAGCTTAACGTCCATCTTCGAAATGGCCGAGCCAAATGGGAAATGCGTGTAAAGTGCTTTTCCCGAGGACACAACGTCGGACCGACATTATTCGATCGTAACCAATACGTTTATATTGTTTTGCAAGTCTTATTCAACAGTAAGCGCCTCGGAACCTATGTCCATCTGCCCTTGGTGACTTAATTTCAGGCTGACGACATTTCAAGCATGCTGTGACACCAAGTTCAGTAGCAAAATCTGGATAAAGAGTTCAAATTTACCTGTAACAACAACGAAATGTTATATCATTCATAACAGGTCACATTAACATCTGATTAAGTCTCATTTAACCTTGTCTCAACATAAATGTTGGAGACCCATTGATGGGAAAACATGTAGTCTTGAATTTTTATAATATTATTTTACAAGCTATTAGGCTATTACATGTATCTGAAAGCTTTACGTAAAAAAAACCCACCCCAAAAACCTCTATTCCTTTATTCAGACGTCTAGAGATAAACCTGTTTGGTGTTTCACTCTCTGTTGTGAAAACAGCAGAAAGATGGTGAAAAAAAAATTTAAGAGGCGCGAGCTCGGACGAGAGTTTTGTGTTTTAAAGGCCTAAATTGTTTCCCTTGGAATGAAACCTGTCTTTACGTAAATAAACGAGGTTTCTACTTTTCTAATGACTACAAAACAATAAGCATGTTAATATTATTTGAGTGGACTTTCTTGTTTGTTTTGTCTGTCTTTGCTGAAGTTCAATGCCTGATGAGAGACTGAAGAGGCCATCTTGAAGATGGGGAACTTTTTTTAAAAGAAAAGACACCTACATAAATGACGGAATTCCAGTAGGGAGCCTGCATTTAATTTGCAGTAATATTTGTAATAATCAGTGAATGACAAAAGTCATCATTTCAGTCAAGCTAAGGACTTATCATCAAAATGGACTCGCATAGTCAGTCATGGAGTTATTTAGCTCGCGGGGCACATAGTATAGTTTTAAACTAGGCCAATGATAGAAAATGATGTCAAGATATTTATTGTACATCATAAGGATATCCTTCAGCACTGCCCGCGCTGCGCCACCCTTCGCACACAGACGTGGAAGAATGTGGCTCCCCTTGAGAGAAAGCTCTATGGCAGTCTGTCAGGGTTGAAGCGAACTACACAGTTTGTGCGCGACATCGGACTGACTGTCTAGCTGCTGTCATCGAGAACGAGGAAGAAGACGAAGTACATCATAAGGAAATATATAAAATTCCCCATTTCTTACCACTAATTAAAGAATGTCTCACTTGGAGCTATGATGGTCTACAATGTGGACCACACTGATTCAAAATTCATCCCCTTGGGACATTAACACAGACTAAGTAGTTTAACAAGTTCTCGTTTAATAAGTTTTCCACCTGCGTAGTCTTATAATTATCGAAAATTAATAGCATAGATCTATTACCGGTACATGTAGGCCTACATATTATTTCTGGTCTTTCTGATAACTTTACTGAATTAAAGGGGAGTTGAACTCTTACCCGTACAATACAAAACGTGATACATCAAAACTCCTTAACCTTGAATTTTTGAAGACTACGTCCGGAAAGAATTTAACAGAAAAGAAGAAAAAAAAACAGCTCTCAAGAAAGGGGTTGAAAAACATTTGAAACTGTATTCAGGACAAACCAATAAGTTGGTGAATTTGGTATGCTAGTGGGACGCTGGGCACTGTGCAACAGAGAGTAAAATCATGCTAAAGCAAGCGTACAAGATAAAAACTTGGGATTGTTTGAATAGAGTTCTTACCCAATTGTGCCGTCTTCTGGATCATGAGCTGTTGCAGGACTCCACGACACGAACTGGGGAAAATAGGCAATCATTAGAAAGTAAATAAAGGTACTAATATATGATTATGTCTTTCAAAAGAACTGGAAGTTTGCTGTTATGTTACAAGTAGTACCAACTTTATTTTAATTCAATGACATATTACACACAGCCGTCAAGCACAATCCAGATAATAATTCAATCAGCCTTCTGCGACCATTCTCCTTATCTCTGTACATTGTATACACAAAGATATTAATTTTTGTTAATTAAAATGCTTGAACACCGTCTCAGTGGCTTCCATAGAACTTTTGAATCCTTGCAAACGGCCTCACACGCACACACATACAAACACCAGGCGCTGTTCGTCCATAGAGCACGGTCGTGCAGTGCCGCCCAAAATGTTTTAATGTTCTATGACGTAAACCACCGACAATAATACAATAAAAGACGCCAGAAACAAACACTAGCCTAATATTATATCAAAACAAGGCCCTCGCTGGTGCCGTAGCTGTCATTTCTATTCTATTGCGCCGTAAAACACACTATGCCATGCCTAAGTTCATGCGCTGTATCTAATTATAACAGGATAGCCAACGGTGGAAACCTGACCTTTTAATCGCTCTTTGGGATAACCCAAGCGATGACGACACTTGTAGAGAGTTTGGCGATACATTAATATTATTAATAAGACGTCACATCTCAAATGTGCTCCTGCCGAATAGCGCCGAAACATAGTCCACAGTAGGCAATCTAAAAATAAACGCCATAGACTGTGCACTATTCCATGCCAAAATTATGTGGGCCCCGGAGCAATACAGCGGAGTGCTCAAGTGAATTGTGATTGGTTCATTGTCTGGTCGCTATTTTAAGTGACTCTGTGACCGTGAACCTGAGGGAGTGGGAAGGGGGGGGGGGAGGGGTAAACGGACAGTATAGTATAGTACATGTACAATCTTTGCAGGCCTGACTCTTCTTCATTATATTACATTCAGTTGAACTTTTTTGTCTTTTTTCTCTTGGTTCAGCTGATGTGTCATCCTTTCGAGATCAAAGCAACTATAATAGCTTAAAACATGTCACCACTCAGCAATTTAGAAGAAAAAAATTTTGGGGGGGTCTCTCAGTGACCAGTTTCTTAGGCAGAGACCACTGTAATTGAAACAGCAGATCCAACAGAATAAAACACAATCGTTGAAAATCATTGATTGCACTAACAAATTCAAATATCAATCACTTAGACTAGAGGAATAGCCAAAAAATGTAACCAAAAACTCATGTTACTTACAATATCAGTCCTGCCTTTAGCCAACGTGTAGTCGGGAATAACCGGGCAAGTGATTGTTGGTCTTCTGTTTGGTCCTAATAAAGACGGGAATTTTTTTTTTAATGAAATTATTTGTATGCCAAGGATCGAGCGCCGTGAGGCTTCCTACTCCTAGGCAATGCAAAATCAGGACACTTAATAATTAATAAGCAATTAATAAGCAATTAATAAGCAACAGCTACGAAATTGGATCTCAACATTAATTAGGGTCAGATAAAATAAGAATCAACTAGATCTACCAAAGGAATAAGTAGGGCCTATTATACGATAACAGCAAACTTCTTCAAAGTATTGTTATTCTTTTGTCGGTGTTGCCCGGATATTTTTTTCCCTTTATCTTCTCAGGGGTAATTAGGCATATCTGCCAATAATTTGATACGGCATCTAAAGAAGAGACAATAAATGAGCAAAACGATGTCAACAACTGCATGTAGATCATCATCATCATCACCAAAAACACCCCAGAAATACCACCACAAACAACAACAACAACAACAACAACAACAACAACAACAACAACAACAACAACAACAACAGCAGTAACAACACCTACAACAACAACAACAACAACTACAACAACAAGAAACAGCAGCAACAACAATAACAACAACAACAACGACAATAACAATGATAATAATAATATGTACCAATAACAACAGCAGCATCAACAAATGACACAAATCTTCTTTACAATTTACAGAGCATAAAAATATTATACTACTTACTTCCACAACTGAAACAGCACCAGCGGCATCTTCTCCACCACCAGCCAGAGCAGTGCCATCTGCAAGGGCTCCACCAACCCCAACCCCAGCCCCCGCCCCAGCCCCAGCCACCGCCCCAGCCCCAGCGCTTTCGTCTATGTAGCGCGGTGGGTTGGGTGTCCCTTTTCCCTCTCGTCTCCTTCTCGTCCATGAGGTCTGATCAGTACGAAATAAAAAAGAGGATCAAAGATTGATTGACAAAGCAGCCAGAGGGCGCAGTTAATTGGAAGTGAGAAGAAAAGGAAGATATGTGTTTGGAGTGTTTGAATGGGTCTTCAAGAAAAAAGAAGAGTGCACGTGTGTGTGTGTGTGTGTGTGTGTGTGTGTGTGTGTGTGTGTGTGTGTGTGTTGTGTGTGTGTGTGTGTGTGTGTGTGCGTGCGCGCGCGTGTTGTGTGTGTGCGTGCGCACGCAAGAGCGTGTCTGTTTTAACTCGGTCCACAGAAACAGAGGCAGTCTTATACTGAGAAGATAAAGGCACCGATGTACGAAGTAGTTTAGCTTGAAAATCAAAAATTATTTGATATCTGATTTGAAATAATAATTGTAAAAAAAAGACGAGCATTTCCAAAGAAAGGGTCAATGAAAGGAATCTTAACTAACAAATAAGCTTCATTAAATTTATTTTAGGATTACACTGCAGTACTAAAGGCCTGTCGTCACTCAACGGCAGACTTCACAAAATCATCATACTGAATGGTACATTTTGAAAAATACGCCCACAAAAAAGGCACCGATATTGGAATTTTTAGAAGCATAACATTTACCATTACTTCCTTGGCTCACCTCTTTTATTTGCCGATTGCCTACACATTTTCTCTCTCGTTTAAAGAATTTAATGCAATTTTGACACAAAGTTGGTCTGGGCCTAAGTTTTAAAAAGACAACTAAATGGACAGTGGTATAAAACCAAAAATCTTATCTTTCAGAGGATGCCAAAGAGGTTATAGGCCTACAGTAGAGCACACCTATGACGAACACTCTTGTAAAGAACTGACGGAAATAAAGAACAAATTTCTTTGCCCCGTTTTTTTCCTCTCTTTGTGTCATTAATTTATATTTTGACGCATCTAGCAAACATACGATAACGAGCTGACAGCTGTAACGAACCAATCATTTTCTCATCCAACAAGTCTTTTTCCTTCTTATCTACGACTGAAGTAACGAACCAGCCCATCTCTATTAGTTGACCTAACCAAGAGTTGCCCAACAGCCTACCGATACAGATTTTCCGTATTAACATGTTCCTCAAAGTACGGAAGTACGGAAACTAAGCTTACGAAAAAAGTACGGATTTTCGTCGAAGCGTCGATAATAGGATATCCGCCGTTCGCCGACCAACAGAATCGTTCGATTTTTTAAATTATACAAATTATATTTTTAAAAACTACGATGGAACCGGAAGTGATTTTCTTTCCTTACTGTTTACATCCGGGCAGTAGGCCTGGTCCACAGAATTCTACACTTTAAGTGTAGAATTCTGTGGCCTGGTCATTATTCGTTTATTAAAAAAAACAACAACAAATAAATAGGCCTAAATAGTTTTCTAAAAGTCCGAATAACTAAATACATGAATCGCTTTCGGGGGAAAAGGCGGGGGGGGGGGGGGGGGGGCGGATAAAATTGGGAGTAAAGAAGCTGTCGATGGACGTGAGAAATTGGAGTTACATGGATTAATGAAAGAGTAGGCCCACTGAAACTTACTAATAAGTAGGGAAAAGTAGATCTACTGAAAATTAGCACCGGAGTTGGACTACGTGAGAAAAAGTATGTTTGTGTGTGTTGACTGAAATAAAGTACTACTGATATAAAGAACTATTTTCATTGCCCGGGCATGTTCTTTATATCAGTGTTTCACTGTATACAGTTTTTGTAATATTATAGTTCGTGGCAGTGACGTCACCCACGAAAAGGAACGAGAGATGCATGTGCCCACCCTGAGACGTTTGCCCTTAATATTCAATAATATAAAGGGCAAGACATGCACAGTCCAACAGACGGGTGAGTACTTTTCGAGACAATGTGGAGACGTCTCGGTGGTCTCAGGAAGAAACCTACAAGTGGGAAACAGGGTGAGGGCTCGGATTGTTCATGTAAAAGGGGGCGCGCCAGCCATGCCAATCAGCACGGGCAAGAAGGCCCCCATATCTGACACGTGTGACGTCCCTGTCGACAGCCCAAGTATTATAATACAACCTCTTTGGAGGAAATCCAAAAATACGCATGGGGGAGGGGGGCATAATAAATAAATACAGTCCAGTCCATTTATAACAGCTTCTGTTATTCTTCTTTTTTTTTCAAAACTCCCACGGTGGCCCGCGTCTCCCCACTCTCCCCTACAGGAATTTGGATATAACAGTGATAAATCAAATCCCCGTTTTTTTCTCTCTATAAGTGTTAGTAATATGAACCTGGCTATAACAGGGTTCAATTTGCGCAGACTGATATAACAGTAATCTTGCAGCGCATGAATTTTCTTTCGATCAGTCAAATTATACAAATTTGTCTCAACCAAGACATTTGGCCTGTTTGTATGATCGCTTGCCTAAACACAAACTTTCAAACACATGTCCTCCATATAGTGTTGGGGCAATGAGTCTACATAACAAGAGGGGCCACTTCTCTCTTTGAGCCAATTAAAAAAGTGTCCTCAAAATTCGGTGGCGCCCTCTTCGCAAAAGCGCACCTTTTGCGAACATAGAGTTATCCTACTTGAGTTTAAAAAATCAAAGTGAAACTAG